GGGGGGGGGGGGGGGTATCTGGAGGGGGCAGGACGGGAGATAGGGGAGCCAGAAGACCCCGAGGAGGCTGCTGCCAGGGTCTAGTTCGTAGATGCTGAGGTCTAGGCTGGGAGAAGGTTCCTGGAGGATTCTCAGAACCGGCAGAAATGGTGCCCAACTGCCCAGCCTCAGTCCCCCTGCACCCACTGCATTGGAGGGAGAGCTCCCTGAGGTCCTCTATGGCCCTCAGGCCCTGCAGACCTGAGTCCTGAAGGGGACAGGCCACACTCACTCCGGGGAATGTTTTCCAGGCAGGGGACAGCGGGTGGGGACAGTGCTTGCAGACGGTCAGCTTCCGCAGCCTGTTTCCTCTCTCCCTGGGTCACTTTCCCTGGCCTTCCTTCCCTCCCCAGACCCTGCTTCCCCCTACACCTCCCCCAGGCCTCTGGGTAAACAACCCTCCCAGAGCCCCTGCGGGGAGGAAGAGAGCCCCCAGAGAGGCAGCCCCATCCAAGCCCCTTCACACCCTCTACCGGGAGCCCCCAGTCCCACACCTCCAACCTGGGCCACCCCGGCCCCTTTCTCACGAAGGCTGCATGAGGCTGTGGACAGACAACCCAGCCTGTGCCAGGCTCACAGGAAGGGCCCAACAATTGTTATTCCGAAGAGTCAAAAATGAGGACTTCCCAACCAGGCAGAGGAACGGGGAGGCTTTCAGGAGGAGGTGGGGGGTGAGCTGGGCTGAAGGAGAGGGGGCCTTTCAAAGGAGGTGCCCCAGCAAGAACACAATAGCCACTGCTGAGCACCTACTCAGTGCCAGGCTGTCTGTGAGCCTTATTGCATGGAACACCCCCAGGAGGTGGGTCCCATTTCCATCTACAAGGAACTGAGGCATAAGAGACTGTAACGTTTCCACAGTCACCCAGCTCATAAGTGGCAGCACCGGGGTTTGAGCCACTACAGAATCAAGACTCTCTCTCCAGGGCACCTGCTGCCTCCAGCTCATCGGGGACCTTGTTTTACAAGCCCCTCAGGTGGCCTGCCATTCCCCAAAGAGGATAGTCTCACATTGCTCCCTCCCACCCCCCGCCACTGCCCTATCCCACTCTCAACCCAGCCCCTCCACGTCACCCCCAGCCCCCCCCCCGCCGGGGCCACTCACCATGGGCTTCTTGAACTCATTGGGCTTGATGCAGCGCACGAAGAAGGGCTGGCAGGCACCCAGTGTGCGCATCAGCAGCTCCAGCGAGCGCTTGAACTGGCTGCTGAGTGTGGGCGAGCGCTTCCTGGTCTCGGCGCCCTGGAGGGGATGGACGGAGGGGAGCGATGGGAGGGGCTGTGCCTGCCCCCATCCAGCCTCCCAGCATCCAGCCCGGAGGGAAGCGGGAAGCAGGGTGGGGAGGTCAGCAGGTCAGGCCCTGAGGGACTGGATGGGCGCTGGGAGTTTTCCTGCAGCCAGGAACTGGACTGGAGCTTGGACCCCAGACACCACCTCCAGAAAGCCTCCCAGGACTTCCAGAGGTATCTATCACCCCCGGACCAAGAGGAAATGACCACTGTGGGAGGATCCCTGCCCTGGGAGTCAGGAGCCCAGTTCCCGCCCTGGTGTGCTGGATGACTCGGGCAAGGTGCAGCCCCTCCCTGAGTCTCACACATCCTTCCCTCCCTGTATAAATGAGTAGCCAGACTTTGTCACCTCAGAACACTGGGGTCACCTCTAGAGACAGGGTTTAGACAAACCCAAATTCCAACCCTGGCCCACCACCTCCTAGCTGTGTGACCTTGGGAAGGTCACTAAACAGGGCTGAGCCTGTTTCTTAAATGGAAATGATGCCCTCCATCCACGTGATAGGGCTGTGTCGGGGTCAGAGGTCAGAGATCAGAGCCTGTTTCAGTAAGCAGCAGCCTGGAAAGGCAGCTGCCGCCTTCTGGGAACAGCAGGGAAGTGGGAGGAGGAGGGGTGGGAGCCACCTGTGGCCTCTCCCCCCTTGTGGGATTATCGGCAGCAGCAGGCTGGGGTGGGCAGACCGACCTGGATAATCCTCCTAAGAAGGCCCACAAGCTGGCTTCCGCCAGCGCCCTGTGGCACCAAGGCCCCCAGGGGTTCTGAGCTCCACCAGCCGCGACCTGGGTGATCCAGGCAGCCAGAGATCCCTCTGCGCCTTCCTGTCCCACTAGGATCCCCTCTCGGAAAACTGTGAAGGAGGGGTGCTGGGGGGAGGCCTGGGTCCCAAACAAACAGGAAGCCAGACAGCCGGGCTGATAGAGGGAGCTGGACATGCAGCCCAGGCTCTGGGCCAAGCATCTTGATCATTATAGCATTTCCCTGACCGTTTTCCTTTGGGTGAGAGTTTCTTATTTCATTTGACTTGGTTTTATTTGACTATTATTGTGAGGCTTTATATTTTTAGAGTCATCATTTCATCTGATACCTGTAGCATGAAAATATAGATGTGTGAGGTATTTGTGGGGGCAAAGGTGTCAACCCACACTAAATGTGAACAATCTGCCACCAGACCGTAACGAAACTTGCCAAGAATGAGCCGACGCCTGATATTCTGAAACCTGCTGTACTTTCCAACGTGTTCTCTTTGAAATATGTGCAAGAATTTTTCCCAGGGAAGTTGGGGAGTATTTGCAATGGAGTAGGGTGACGGTCACTGCTTGGCCCCAGGGTTGCCCTTGAACCTGATCCAGCAGTAGCACAGGGTGACTGCCTCTTGGAGGGGGAGCTGTACCCAGCCTGAATTACAGCCCCTGCCATGAATCCATGCAAACATGTGTACACACACAACACATACACACAACCCACTCACAGAGTACGCATACAGCACATGCAGTACACACACATAACACACACCACAGCACACATACACACACAGCACACACACAACACAGAGAGCACACACACAACATACACATACCACAGCATGCACACGCAGAATACACACACACATACACATCCTTCTTTGGTTTTGACCATGTCACTGGAAAGACCCCTCTTTCTTTCCTCCCAGCCAGGTTATGGGCCTTAGGAAAGGCCAGGTCTGCTTTGTTTACTGCTGCATGGCCAGAGCCCGGCACAAGTAACAACCAACAACACTGGTTCCTAGTGGAACTGACCCCGTGGGCTCACGGAAATTGTCCACTTTCCAATTGCCCAGGCCAGAAATCCAGGAATGGTCCTCAAAGCCTCTTCTGTCACATCGAATACTGGCTCTATGAGGAGGACCCAAAAAAACCGTGGAATTATCTTTTGGAGGGCGGGTCAAAAGATAATTCCAGGGTTTTTTTGGGTCTTCCTCATAGGAGGAGAACACTTGGAATTTGTTCTTCCAGATCAAACAGTCAGCCAAAGTTTTTACCTGGAAGTTTTGAGAAGGCTGCCTCATGATTTGAGGAAAAAATATCCCAAGCTGTGGCAAGCCGGTGCCTGGTTCTTCCACCTAGACAATGCATCTGCCCACACTCACACTGAGTGTTCAGCAGTTTTTGACCAAAAACGGTGTGGCTCCCATGCTCCACCCTCCCTATTCACTCGATTTCACCCTGAATAACTTTTTTTTGGTTGCCTGCATGAAAAAAAGTCCTCAAAGGGAAACATTTTGCCAGTGTGGAAGAGGTGAAACAAAAAAACAACAGAAGCACTGAAAGACAACGACACTGATGAGACCAAAAACTGTTTTGAGCAGTGGAAAAAGCATCTTGATAGGTGTATTGCATCAAACGGAGAGTACTTTGAAGGTGACTGAAGCTTAAACATGTAAGAATTAACACACAATTTTTTATAAATAAATTCTGGGTTTTTTGGGGGTGGGTCCCCTTTGTCCTTCCAAAGTCTCTCCGGAATCTGACCTCTTCTGATCACCTCCTTCACCAGCAGCCTGGCCCTGGCCACTAGCATCGCCCTCCTGGAGTCCTGCAACAGCCTCCCTGGTGGCCTCCTTGCTTCCGTCCCCACACCACCCTCCAGTTGGCACAGTGGCCCAAGTGACGCTGCCAAAACAAAGCCACATCCCTCCCCTGCTCCAGACCCCTCAACAGCTCCTCATTTCACTCTGCATGAAAGCCCAGGTCCTTATGAGGACCTACAGGGCTCCATAGGATCTGGCCCCAGGGGCCTTGGGTCTCTCCATCCCCTGCTCACTCCCAGACACTCCAGCCTCTGCTCGGCCGAGATGCACCAGGCAGACCCTGGACTGAGAAGCACCACAGGGCCTCTGCACTTGCTGTCCCATCTCCCTGCAGTGACCTGTGGCTGGGTACATTATTCCTTGTGCCCTGGTGGCTGGGCACATTCTTCCTCACCTCCTCATCGACCTCTGACTGAGGCCTCTCCTGACACCCTACTCAAACCTGCAGTTCCCACCACAGCATTTCTCCCTCCTTCACCACTCCCCATGCCAAATACCACCACCTGAGATGTCAGGTTGACTCATTTATCGGCTTGTTAACTATTCCCTCCTCTGCCAGAATATAAGTTTCATGAGAACAGATTGTTTTTCTGTTTTGTTCACTACTATGTCCCTAAGACCTAGGATGTCTGGTATACAATGGGCACTCAATAAATGTTTTTAGATTGAATGACCAAATGAATGAATGTACGAGCGGGCACTAGGAGCTGCGGAGTCTGTGCTCACATCCCTGGCCACCTGTTTTATTTCCTTGCAGGGAAAGTCTGTCTTTCCTGGTATTTGCTGTCTTCTGGGATAACCTGCAGCTGTTTGGAGATGGGGTAAGAGCGGAAGTGAAAAGCCCAAAGGCCAATGTCAAATGGCTCCAGGGAGGGGATCTGAGAGGAAGACCCCTGAACGGGACGTGAAAGCAGCTGGGAAGTAGCGGGCAGGAGGCCACCTGCGTAAAGAGCATCCTGTGGGTTCGGCCCTGGGACCTGTGACTGGGCTTGGACAGTAGTCAGGGATGCTCAGCATCCTAGAAAAATGGCTCATCACAGCTTGGCCGGTCCCTTCACTGGCAATGGCTGGGGTGGGGCTGCCCCAGGGAAGCAGACACAAGAGTCAAAGATGAGAACTCAGGGGATGGGGGTGGGAGCTCAGATCACAGGAGGAGGCAACGTGGGCTCCATCCTGACAGGGCCATGGCAACCAGTACACTGTCATCAAGTACACTGTGACTTGATGTTTCACAAGTAACCAAGCTAATGTCCACCTTCTTTTAAGAGAGTGATCATGTTTCCAGCAGTGACAAAGCATTTTTTTCTTTCCTAGATGTGATGGTTACAGAGCTCGCACTGTACAACAACAAAAATTAAACATTCAAAAAAATTTTTTAGCCACGCATGGTAGCTCACACCTGTCATCCCAGCACTTTGGGAGGCTGAAGCAGGAGAATTGCTTGTGCCCAGAAGTTCAAGACCAGCCTAGGCAACATAGTAAGACCTCATCTCCACAAAATGTCAAGAAAGTGGCTGGGCATGGTGGTGTGGGCCTGTACTCTCAATTTCATGGAAGGCTGAGACAGAAGGATCGCCTGAGCCCAGGAGGTAGAGGCTATTATGGGTCGTGATTGTGCCACTGTACTCCAGCCTGGGCAACAAAGTGAGATCCCAACTCACTTAATAATAAAAATTTTCAAAACTATTTTAAAAGCAGGAAAACTTCCCTTTAGTCCTCACTTGTATATGACCTTAGACAAGTCTCTGTACCTCCCTGAGAGACTTGACCTGGGCTCAAACCCCTGTTGTGTCGCAAGCTGTGTGACTTTAGCCAAGTGCCTTGGTCTCTCTGGGCCCCAGTTTCTTTACCTGTAAAGTGGGAGGAGTGGTAACTACTCTCAGGTTGCTGATGGGAGTGAATGCGGTGATAGGGTAAGTTCTTAGTTCACAGCCTGTCTTGGAAGAGATGCCTAGTGGATGTCATCAATATAAAATTCTATGTCCAATATCAAATTGCTGTGTCCTAATTTTCTGTCCCTAAAGCTCCTTCAGGAGGGGACCATTTCTGGAGACCCCAGGCTCCTACACTCAAGCCTTTCCACGATTCCTCAAGCAAAGGGGTTCCAATCTTGGGGGAAGGAAACTTAGGAGACTCGTGGAGAGCCCCTGGGTGCCTCTGGGAGCTTCAGAAGGAGAGAAGAGAGAGAAGGGGGGTAGGAGGAGAAGATGGGGTCCAGCAAGTACCCCGAGACCAGGAGGAAGGGATGAGCCCGGGGAGGAAGGCATAAGACAGCCCAGAACAGCACCGTCTCACCCATGTGCACCCTACAGCTGTGGACTTTGGATGGGAACTCCCCTGGGTGTTGGACCTTCAAGGGCCTGGGACCCCTCTCTCTGAGGATGGCCTGGCGCTGCGTGGGCCCATCAGCCCGTGGGGCCCCGGTGTTGGTCTGTGGGGGTGAGGGGGGCCAGGGCTGGTCTATGAGAGGAGGGAGAGGCGACTTCCCAACAAGCTCCCTGCTCCTATCAGGCCCGGTGCCCCGTTCTGCCGCTGGGGGCTGTGAGTTGCTTCAGGACTCTGCGAGGCCCTGGACAGGAATGTGAAGGGAGATGCCAGACACGCAGGGAGGAAGAGAGACCCGGCATTGGGGCCAAAGCGGGAGATGCCAGTATTTGGTGGGGAGGAAATAGGGTTGAGAAAAGGCAGTGTTATGGCATTGTGAGGGATCCCCAGAACGGTCGGGAGCTAGGGCACCTTGGGAGCCAGGCCTGAGGGTGAGCTCCAGGCACGCCAAGGATGCTGATCCAGGCCTAAGGGGTCCGGGGAATAGTGGCTTCCAGTACCAGCTCCCCACCAGAGTGCTGTGATTTGGGGTGAGTGATACTCCACCACCCCCAAGTCTTGTTCCTTCATCTGCAAAATGCAGAAAATGTCACCTGTACCTCCTGTCTGCAAGGTGACCAGAGGATCTGACCAAGGCACAGCTGGAGAGATGCTCATCAGGGTTCGGGAGGCGGAGCAGCAGTGATGCCTCAAGAGGAGCTGGGAGACCTGGGTTCAAGTCCCAGCTCTACCCTTGGCTCATGGGGGACCCCGGGCACATCTTGCTCCTCTTCCAGGACTCAGTTTCCGCCTTTCAGAAACTGAAATGCCTGTAGCACACACAACTCAAAAACCAAACACAAAAATCACTCCACAAACCACTCCACAGAAAAACACACTCCAAAAAAGAACAAGCCCAGCCCTTTCCCCAAGCCTCAGCACCATGGCACTGATGCCAAAGCCCAGCTGGGGGCCGCTGAGGCCTCTCCCGCCATCCTCGGCCCCAGGCTTGGGGTCTTTTACCTTCGCAGCAGCTGCCGAGTGGCGCAGAGTGCCGGATGAATAACCACAGAGAAACTACAACGGGAACCACAGCTCAGGGTGAGACAGGGCCAGGAGGGGCTGGGAGGGTGTGGCGGGTCAGAAAGCAGAGGGGAAAATCCGCCATGGAGGCAGGGAGACCCTCTGGGTGAGGGCTGGGGTCCTGGCAACTCTGTGACGGCTAGTAATCCCGAGGGCAGGGGACAGCCAAGCATGGGGTGCTGAGGGAGCAGGGTCTCTGTCCTCCCCATGAGACCTTTCATGTGCCCTCGAGGATGCCGTGGGGACAGGAGGAAAATATGAAATAAAAAAGTCCAACCCTGAGGAAGTAAGCCCACCAGGCTACCACCCCAGGGCCCAAGGAAAGGTGGGGGAAATGCTTCCACCGTCTGATGGGGTCCAGGGTTGGCACAGACATGCCCTCTGTGCCAGCTTCTCTGAGTGTCCACTCCCACCCCAAATCCTTGAGGCTGGATGTGCTTCTTTCACCCACACTCCCATTCACTGCTAGAGGCCCAGCACGGTAAACTGAGTCCCAATGGGCTCTGCTCTGTGACCTCTCAGGTGACTTTTCTCTGGGCCTTGCCCCTGACCTGCACCCCACAATCAGTACAAGAGGACCAAATGGGAGGATCTTGTGGCCTCTTGGAGCCACAGTGAAGCTCTGTCCCTTACGTGGCCCGAGGGACTTGGCTGAGGCTGCAGGATGAGGGTGGGGCCTAGACCCAGGCCTGGCTTCTGGGGCCCCCTCCCGCCCAGTGGAGGCCCTGCCAGCTTACCATGGCGACGTCGGCCTGGAAGATCTGCTTGATGAACTTGTTCCTGGAGGAGTGAACCAGCTGGATGATGTCCCCGTGCAGGGTATCCCGGTTCTTCTCTAGGAAACCTGGGCAGTAGCAAAGAGTGGTCACCTCGCCAGCTCTGCAGCCCCTACCTGACAAGACGCTGGCTCTCTCCCCAAATCCACCTGTCTGAGCCAGGAGGGCCCTTGAAATCCCCCAGGTTCAACCACATCCATTTCATAGTGGGGGACACTGAGGCCTGGAAAGACAGCAGCTTGCCCAAGATCACAGAGAAGGTAAGAGGCCATCTCCCCAGCCACACAGCCCCCCGTTTCCAGGCCTGTTCAAGAAGGGCTGGTGGTCTTGGTCTCTGGGAGAGGGCAGGACTCCTTCCTGATGGAGCCACCCAAAGCTACCATGAGTCATTTGAACTAAGGTATCAAAGCTCTTGTTAAGTAAGTGTGTCCCCTGGGGGAGAATGCATGTTGATCTGTAAAAGCTAGCAGTAAAGGAATTAATCAAAACCACTTTGTAGTTGGACATTATGTTTTACAAAGCACCCTCACAGCTCCCTTTGTATATGTGGGATAGGCAGGGATTATCTTCCCCATCCCACAAGGGAGAAAACTGACGCTCAGAGAAGCTGAGTGAGTTGTCACACAGCAAGCCATCCCAAAAAGTTGAGACTCGAACCCAGAATCTCTGGCGCCAGCCCAGGAAGATTCCCTTGCACCACAGACCCCAGAGGAGGCTGCCGTTCCCAGAGGCTGAGGAGTTAGGAACTGGTTAATGGGGGAATTTTCTAGGGTAGGGCAGAGGCTGGGGATGTCAGAGAGGGAATGCCACTGCGGGGAAGTAGGATTTAGGCTATCCCTGGGTGGTGGACAGCCTGGAGACTAAGTGCTGGGCTGCTCACCTGGCATCTGGGAAGGGGTAAGTTTCAGGAGGCACACAGCAATAGAGGGTGGGCTTTCGTGAGGGGATAGAATTAGTAAAGCTATGACAGACTCACTGTGTGACCCTAGAAAGACCCCCTTTCTGGACCTCAATTTCCTCAACCATCGGATGGGAATGATAGTACCCACCAGCTTGCTTTTCTTCAGAACACCCAAGACCACCCACTTCAAAAATGGAATGCTGTATGAAAGCAGTACTATGTGAACCAGAATGTGCTGGTTCAAATTGTTTCATGTTGCTCAGACGTGTTTAGGAAGCTTGGGCAAGTCCCTTTCCTCTTTGGGTTTCAGTTTCTGATTCCCTAAGAGTAGATGACCCTTCCATTCCCTACAATTTTATAGCCCAGCACAGAGCTTACTTAGTTTTCATTTCTGTATCTTTGACAACAGCATGAAGCCTGTTAACAGATGCTCCTTGCATGTTGGTGGAACCGAACTGAAAAATGCAATCCGCTATTCCTATGAGCAAAAGACCCATGTGTTTTTTGTTTTTGTTTTGTTTTTTTTTGAGTTGGAGTCTCACTCTGTCGCCCAGACTGGAGTGCAGTGGCCGCTCCCGGCCACCGCAGCCTCGACCTGCTGGGCTCCGGCGATCCTTCCGCCTCAGCCTTCCAAGTAGCCAGAATTACAGGCATGTGCTACCACGCCCGGCTGATTTTTTGATTTATTGTAGAGATGAGGTCTTGCCGCCCAGGCGGGTCTCGAACCCGCGGGCTCAGGCAATCCACTCACCTCAGCCTCCCAAAGGTGTGGGATTACAGGCTGAGCCACCGAGCCCGGCTAAGACCCATGTGTTTTGCTCAACATTCCTTCAGACTTACTGTCTGCTCCCTTCTTTCCGACAAGTTTGGGTCTCACAGCCCAGTATTTTAAGGAGGACTGAGCAGCTGTGAGAGTCTATCACTGAAGCATGAAATGCACTGGTGCACTACTGATTTCTGGACCAGTTCAACAGGGGAGGATGAGATGCATGACTCACTTGTTTGGTTTGAATTTCAATGACCTTTGACTATGTATGGGTGAGACCCTCTGAAGTTGTATGGCAGGCTTCAGTGTAGACACATTTAAAATGAACCTGCCAGGCACGTTGGCTAACGCCTGTAATCCCAGCACTTTGAGAGGCCGAGGCAAAAGGATTACCTGAGTCCAGGGGTTTGAGACTAGTCTGGATAACTTGGCAAGACCTCATCTCTGCAATAAATAAAAAAATTAGCCAGGTGTGGTGGCGTGTACCTGTTCCAGCTGTCTGGAAAGCTAAGGGAGAAAGATTGTCTGAGCCCAACAAGTCAAGACTGCAGTGGCTGTGAATGTGCCACTGCACTCCAGCTTCTTTGGAGCGGAGCGGCAGCTGTCGAGCCTGCCTTCTCTTCCAGGGACCTCTTCCTTTCCTGTCAAGTCCTTGCATTCCTCTTTTGAGACTCTGACTCAAAAATAAAATAAAATGAACCCAATTACATGTCCCCCGGGGAAAAGACGATGCATGCCCTTCTTTGGTCTTATTGCTAAACAAGTCTTGGAGGGTAACTGGGCTGGTTCCAGGCCTGACATTGCATTTAATAGACCATATCATGTCATGTAAAGACAGTCAAACCACCATTCTGAGCCTCAGTTTCCCCATACATACGAAAGAGCATTGAGCCTACACAAAAGAATTGAAAGCAGGGACTCAAACAGATACTTGTACACTAATGTTCCCAGCAGCATTATTCACGGTAGCCGAAAGGTGGAAACAACCCCAGATGTCCATTAACAGACAAATGGACAAACAAAACTTGGTATATCTATACAACAGAATATCATTCAGCCATAAAATGAAGGAAATTGATACGTGTTACAACATGGATGAACCCCAAAGACATGATGCTAAATTAAATAAGCCAGACAAAAAGACAGCTGCAAGCCGGGCTCGGTGGCTCAGCCTGTAATCCCGCGCCTTTGGGAGGCTGAGGTGAGTAGATTGCCTGAGCCTGCGGGTTCGAGACCCGCCTGGGCAGCGAGATCTCATCTCTACAACAAATCAAACAATCAGCCGGGCGTGGTAGCACATGCCTGTAGTTGGCGAGCCCTCATCTCTACAATAAATAATAATAACAATAAATTAGCAGAGTGTGGTAGTGCACGCCTGTAGTTCCAGTTACTTGGAAAGCTGAGGCGGAAGGATCCCTGGAGCCCAGCCGGTGGAGGCTGCGCTGGCCAGAAGCGTGCCACTGCACTCCAGTCTGGGTGACAGAGTGAGACTCTAGCTCAAAAAAAAAAAAAAAAAAAGAAAGTGTACCTATATTTACCACAATTTTAAAAATATCTCTGACACTCCAGATGTTTTTCCTGGGCTGGAGAAGGGGAAGGTAGGGGCACGGGCAGAGAGAGGCAGCCGCGGACAGCCCGAGCGTACCTTGCGTCTCATAGTAGACAACACCTGCAAAGTGGTTGATCCCGAACTGCGTCTCGTGGTTGTTCTTTGGGGGAATGTAGTTCGCATTGAGCTTGTGCTGGGAGTTCAGCTTATGCAACATGGTGGTGTCTGTGCCCTGCGGGAGCGGAGGGGCAGCTGCCGAGCCTGCCTTCTCTTCCAGGGACCCCTTCCTTTCCTGTCAAGTCCTTGCACCCCTCTTTCTAGGCATCTACCCCACACAGGAGCACTCTGGGCCTTCATTTCCCCATCTGCTAAGTGGATGAAATGGAACTACATCACCTTGAAAGCACATTCCATGGCTGGATATGATGCTCATGCCTGTAATCCCAGCACTTTGGGAGGCAGAGGCGAGAGAATCACCTGAGTCCAGGAGTTCAAGACTAGCCTGGGCAAAGTGTCGAGAGCTCGCCTCTACATTAAATCAAATAATTAGCCAGGCATAGTGGCACATGCCTGTAGTTCCAGCTACTTGGAAGACTGAGGCAGAGGGATTGCCTGAGCCTAGCAGGTCAAGACTGTGAGGCTGCAGTGATTGTGAGCATGCCACTGCACTCCAGCCTGGGCAACAGAGTGAGACTCTTACTCAAAAAAAAAAAAGTACATTCAGTTTAGAGAAGATATTTTCCATGATAAAAATATAAAAATCACAGGCGCCATCCCCTCTCCCCTAGCACTCACTCTGTGCCAACCGCACCCTTAGATCTTCATCGTCTGGCCCAGGACCCAGCGGGCTGTAGGTTATTCCCAAGTGGCAGGCGCATGAACGTGAACTGGCCCCAGAGCCACCCTGAGGGGTGGGTACCATTGGTCCCACTTGCAGATGAGGGAAGCCGAGGCTCAGAGTGGGAAACGGCAGCAGCATGAGGCCCTGCCACGGCCCACCTTGGGGAACTTGCTCTCCTCGTCGATGAGGGAGATGATGTTCATGGGCTTGTTGGCGATCATGTCCAGGGCGTCCTGGTTGTCTGTGAACTCGATGTGCAGCCAGTCGATGCTCTCCAGATCGTACTCCTCCTGCTCCAGCTTGAACACGTGCCGCACGAAGAACTGCTGCAGGTGCTCATTGGCGAAGTTGATGCAGAGCTGCTCGAAGCTGCAGGGGCATGGAGGCCGGGCAGGGGGTCGTTCAGGCCCCTGCCCTGTGGCTTGGGACCCTGCTCTGCCTCCTCCCACGGAGTCGGGCTCGCCAGCTCTGAGGCAGGATGGGATTGTCAAGTTCAACCCCTCCACATACAGAGGAGGACACTGAGGCCTCACAGCAAGTCGAAAGGAGAGTTAAGGCTGGAACCCAGGGCCGGGGACCCTCCCCCAAGGACCCTTTCCCCTTCCCTTCCTTTCCCTCCCCTCCCTCCCCTCCCCAGGGTCAGCTGAGGCCAGTGGGGATGGGGGAAAGGCTCTTACAGTAACATCCTGGACACCTGAGGAGGCAATCTCTGGCCACTGTGGATCTGCCCAGTGTCCAAGCTGCCAGGTGCCTCAAAGTAGGTCTTTCCCCTGCAAGACCAGGCCCTGTGGGGGTGGGCCATGGGCCAGCAGGTGGGCACCAAACCCCCTGCAGAGCACCTGAGAGGGGAAGAGCCAAGACACTGGGGAGGTGGGCCACAAAGAAACACCAAGAGCGCCCACAGGAGGCAGGAAGGGGCGCCGATTTGTCCTTGACTGCTGACATGGCTGAGGCCCAGACACAGCCTCATATACTCAGCGTGGGTGTTTTGGGTGGGGGAGGGAGGGCTCTGAAACATCTAAACAGTACAGGAATTGACATGGCTTGCCAGGGGTCCCACAGCAGGAAGTGGGGTCCTAGGACCCATGTGCACCTGCCTCCACCCATCAGCCTGTCACATGGCCCCGGAGAGGGGCAGGACCCCAGGGTGGCTGAGACTCCAACACAAGCTTGTCTCAGGTCCAGCTTCCCCTGCTTTGAGGCACCTAGCAGCTTGGACACTGGGCAGATCCACAGTGCCCAGAGGTTGCCTCCCCAGGTGTCCAGGATGGTGTAAGAGCCTTTTCCCCACCCCCACTGGCCTCAGCTGACCCTGGGGAGGGGAGGAAGGGGAGGGGAAGGAAGGAAAGGGGAGAGGTTCCACCAGGAAGACAGAACAGCCTGGCAGTGTGTGCCTGGCGCCAAGGAAATATGGTTTAAAGGGGGGATGTGACATTTCTCATGTCCATGTTTGAAAGAAAATTCCCCCAGGACAGAGCCCAATGTGGTACCTGTTCACAGCAAAGTTCTCAAATCCAAAGATGTCCAGGAGGCCGATGGACCGGCGGGAGTTCTTCACATCCTGGGAGGGAGGCTTGTAGATCGCCGCGTTGATCTTGTCCACAATCCACACGAAGAGTCGCCCATAGATGCCCTGAAAGGCGGCCATTCAGCCTCAGGCTCAGCCGCAGCCTCCCACAGAAGGAGGCCAGGCTCCTGCACCCTCCGCGGCCTTGCGCCAGCCCCTTCCTTAGAACAGCGTGCTGCTTGAAGCCCCCGAGCCTTTACTCAAGCTGCGCCCTCCGCCTAAGCACTCTTTTCTGCATGAACAAGCCTACAGGTTTTCCGGAGCTCTGTGGAGAGATCAGCTCCTCTCTGAGACCCTCCCAGACCCTGCGGGGGGCAGGTGCCCTCCTCGGTTTGTCTCTGTCTCCCCACCAGCCATGGATATCTCCGAGGTCCCAGAGCCCAGCACGGGGCCTGGCTCCGATGGGGGGCTTGATGTATGGCAAATGTGTGGCTGTAGAGATGGGGGGAAGGGAGGCTCCCACCTGACCCAGCCCCTCTTCTGTGTCTTCTGCAGAGAGACTGAAAAGGGTGTTCCCTGGGCTGATAACAGTACTGCTGATCAAAGCAGGCCAAGGGCCAAGGACCGGGGGGGAGCGAGCCAGCAGGACCCTGAACCTCCATTCCAGGCAGCAGGCATCGGGGCCCAGATGTCCCCAATGTGTGCCCATCAACTACCCAACCTCCCGAGGATAGGGAGAGCAAGGCCCCACATTCCAGCCCACCTTGACAAAGGCATCTCGCACGTCCAGCGCCTGCTCCCGACTGAGCGGGGTAGACACCGTCTCCCCACGGGTGATGAGGGTGCGGCTGGTCAGGCAGCTCATCAGGTCTGGGGGGTTCACCTGGTGCAGATGACACCTAGGGTTCACCCAGCCGCCCGCCCACCAGCCTGTCCCCTCCTGCACCCACACCCAGACTCCTTTCCCACTTTCCAGCACAGGCTGGGCTTGGAACTTCTGCCTCCATGAGGATGGTCTTCCCCACGGCCACAGTCAAATCCTCCCGCCATTGACACCCACCTGGATGCTGTGGGTAAGGAATCTCTCTCTCCTTGACAGTCCCAACTCCCCTGGCATGTTATCTGTCCCTTCCAGGACTAGCCCTGACAGGCTTTATTCACCCCAGTTCTCCAACTCAGGGTAGTGCCTAGTGTTTGCTAAAAGATGGACAGGCAGATTCAATGCAGGTCTCAGACACTTGTGCCCTTTACCCAGATGTGGAGTCTGAGGCCCAGAGGGCAGAATTATTCTCTCAGGGTCACAAAGCCCAGGGTCTCCGCCTGTCTCACACCACTGGGGGAATCTGGGCTAGGACAGGCCAGTGAGGTTCCCAGACTTAGAGATCCACTCCTCTGAGACCCGTGCCCAGTCCAGGCCCTGTACACGGGTGATTCTCAATATGAACAGAACTCTCCAAGCCAGGGTTGGCACTGGCAGGTGGCCCCCACATCCCAGCCCACACTGAGCTAAAACTCAAAAGGATACAGAAGGGTAGTAGGGAAAGAAGGCCGGGCACTGACCTCAAGTAGGGATGCAGCTGTGGCCAGCGACGGGGAGAAGAGGACCTCGCAGGCATCCAGGTTTTCGAATGTGCGGGCTGTCAGTAGCAAGGGGCGCAGCATCAGAGCAGGGAGGGTGGGCACGGGGGGTGAAGGGGCAGTCCTAGGAGGAGTAGGCTACCATGCCCTTTCTCAGGGGGCCTGCCTGTCCACAGAGGGCATCAGCATCTGGCTAAATGCTTCTCTGGGTCAATGTAAACTTAACTCAGGCTCTTACCACAATCCTATGGGCACCATGAGGATAGGGCCATGTCTGCCCAGCACCTGGCACCACGCCTGGCTTCCAAGGAACAGACTCTAGCAGTTGCAACTCTCTCCCTCAACTTCCATCCCAGACTCCCAGAGCTCTTGGTGGCAGCCCTGGCTCCTGTGAGACAGACTTTGGGAACTTGCTCTTCCCCAAATGTGCCCTGCACGCTCAGGCTTAAGGGCCTTTGCACAAGCTCTTCCTTCTGCCTCTGCAGTATGCCCTTGTGCATGTCTCTTGATCGTTCAAGATCACTAGATGCTGATTTCCTTAGTGTAGGGATCATTTATTCACTGAGCAAATTTCCCAGAGCTCCTACTCTACCCAGGAACCATGGTGGGCACAGAGGCCAGAGGTAAGAGCAGCATAGGACCCAGTGCCTGCCTCAGGGGGCCATCTGCCAGCCAGGCACATAGGTCTTAGGCGAGTATGTTCCCTTCCCTAGCATTCCCTCTTTCAGAAGATGGCTATGTAGTCACTGACTTCCTAGTATGAATTTGTTCAAAGATTCGCCCTCTCTGTAAGACATCTGACCTTAAAGAAGAAAATAAATTTGGAAGGGCCTTAAAGAGCTCACAGGCCACTCCCAATATTTTTTAACTGTACAACTCCATGGTGGAATTTCAGCATAGTTGAAATAGTGAGGGTGCAGGTGTTGGGGGTGAGGCTGATTTCAAGCTAGCTGACCTGTTCAAATCTCCCCGCTGGTAAATTTACCCCAACTTCCATCCCAAAGAGGGCATATGCTAGGCCAGAAACTGAGGATGGAATACCCTGTGGGCAGTGGGGTGTCATGCTGCCCTGAGCAGGTCTGGGGGTGGCGGGGGGAGATGTAGCACGCAGCCTCACCCTCATACTGCAGGTTGCCCAGGTGCAGGATGGCGGCCAGAAGTTTCGAGATCTCCCAGTTCTCGGTGTCAGTGAACATGAGCACCTTCATGGCAGAGCGGATGTTGGCGTACTCCTGGCTGTCCACCCGGCCCTCGCAGGTTATGCAGTTACCCTGGTGGTAGGGAGGAGAGTGGGTGCAGGGGGATGTCGAGGAGGTCGTGGGTACCCCCAGACAGGCAGCGCCTGGGTCACAGGGCCCTTTCTGCCAAGCCAGGCCAGACCAGCCCAACCCATGGCTCCAGGCACTGACCTCACCTACTGAGCACCTCAACTCCAGAAAGTCTGGAAAGTCTAGAAAGCCAGGACTTCTCAAGAATACGTTTCTCCCATCTGTGGATGCTGGTGCCCCTTCTTCCCATGAATGAGAGTCACAGGGTCATTGACACCAGGTCTGCCCCAGTCACAGCACAAGGTCCTACCGAGCTTCCCTTGGCCCTCTAATATATCAACACTCAGGGACTCCACCCCCTCACCAGGTATAGCCTGGTGGGGTAATTGCAGATAGGTATCAGCAGGGGATCTGCCCTATTCTGTGCGTGTCTGCAAGACCCAGGTGTATGTGTGTACAAGAAGTATCCAGGAAAGCCTGTCATACCTACAACACACATGTGGGGATACACACACACCCCTCCAATGCCACAGCCCACACTTGTGTCCACGTGGCCTGGCCCAGCCCAGCCCAGAACAGACCTGGGCTCTCACCAGGGTAAGGAGGTGGTGTGCCCCAAACCAGCCTGCTGTGTGCACGGCCCCCAGGTCCCCACAGCATGCTCGGTGACAGTCACAGCCCCAGGCCCGCTTCTCCTTGGTGTCCAGACAGCAGCAAGAGGCTGGCCCCAGAGCCCTGGGACCAGTAAGCCCTCAAGGTCGAGGACCGCAGCCAGCTCCCTACAATACCAGGACACCTGTCCCCCACCCAGGTCCCCACCTGGGCCTCACCATGGCCAAGTAGTTATAGTCGGAGGCCTGGCCCAGGCCTAGCTTCTTCTTCTGATCCTCACTCATGCCCTCCAGCATGCAGTAGAACACATGGTAATTTCGCTCATCGGGGGCCTAGAAGTGAGGGCGCAGATGTTGGGGGTGGAGGGCTGGCCAGGAGAAGACATCAGGGACGACTGGGCCACATGGGAGGGAAGGTTGCAAGCATGGTTGGCTATGCTAACATGAGGCTTTCGTGAAGAAGCCCAGTCAGTCAGCGGGTTTCACAGCGGGATTTCAGGCACGGGGCAAGCAGGCAGCAGCACAGGCAGGTGAGGGAATTCCAAGGCTATGCAGACACCTGAGGCTGGGCATACCTGGCGACGGGGCTCAGGCATACCTGGCGACAGACACGTGACTTCTCTAACAGGTACTGCTCGATCTTGGCACCCTCGATGGCACCCCGCTTGTTGAAGTGGATGTCGATGTACTTCCCGAAACGGCTCGAGTTATCATTGCGGATGGTCTTGGCATTCCCAAATGCTGCAGGTGGGATGGGCGTCACGGCACAGCCAGCCCCCGCCCGCCCCCGAGCACGCCCTCAGAGCCCGGCCCTACCTTCCAAGATGGGGGTGGCCTCCAGCACCTGCTGCTCGATCCACGAGTGCTGCCCACTGATGGCCGCCAGGAACTGCAGGATCAGCTTGGTGCTCTCTGTCTTCCCTGCCCCAGACTCCCCACTGCAGAGGGAGGGAGTGGCAGGACCTGTCACAGCCCACAGGGACACCCCTCTCCCGCCAGACTGGGGCTCAGTCCTGGCTACCCTCACCTGCTCCCCCGTCTGTAATATGGGCTGAGAGTATGAACCTTCCAGGGCTCGGGGGACAGCTAAAAGGCTTAGTTCTTTGCCACTTTCTTCTTCCCCCTCATTCGGACACAAATATCCCTCCATCCACAATTTGCCATAGAGCAGGGCACATGTTAGATGTTCAGTCAAAGCTTTGTCTTTTTTAACCCTCTGCCCAAGAGAAAACAGGAGTCTGCGAAGTCAACTGACCAAACTTGGGAGCCAGCAGTAAACAAGACTGGCCGCAAAAGCTAACATGAGCTTTGGTAGCATGGAGGTTTAAGACCTGGGAAAGAGGTGATTCTCTACATTGTAACACAGTACAGGGTGCAGAGGGTCTGGTCCCTGAGGAATGTCATGGCACCTCTGACAGCTCAGGCAGTCCTCAGGGGTGTCCACAGGAGTGCAGAGCTGGAGCTCAGGTGCTGAGCCTGGAGCTCCCCAAAGGCTGGGTCGCCCACCTGATGATGCAGCACTGGTCCCGGCTGTTGCGTTTCATGTTGAAGTAGCAGTTGTCGGCGATAGCGAAGATGTGGGGGGGCATCTCCCCAATCTTCTTGTTGGTGTACTGGCGGATGTGCTCTGGCGAGTAGATGGAAAGCAGCTGGTAGGGATTCACGGCCACGAGGATGGAACCCGTGTACGTCTGCAGGCAACAAGTGATGGGAGCTCACTACTTCCTGTGTGGAAGGCTGAGAAATCTCTCAGGCTCTGTCCCTAACCCTGGGCCACAGACCAGTACCAGTGTATGGACTGTTAGGAACCGGACAGCACAGCAAGAGGTAAGACACAGGCAAGCTGAACTCCATATTCTGTCAGATTAGTGGCGGCATGAACTGTGCATGCCAGGGATCTAGGTGAACCACTCCTTATGAGAATCTAATGCCTGATGATTCCCCTATCCCCCGTCCATGGAAAAAGTGTCTTCCATGAAAGCGGTCCCTGATGCTGAAAATGCTGGACCGCAGCTCTGGAAGGAAGAGCACTGACTTTGGAGTTGAGCAGTGGACCGGGGGTCAGAATTCTGTCCTCAGGGGCTAGAGTGGGTCTTTCCAACCAGCATTTGGGCCTGGCTCTGAGTTGGTGTTCAGTGATGTGCAGTGAATGGAGGAGTGAAGTGGGAAGAGAGGGCAGGTCCCCAAGGCTCAGTTTCCTCATCTTTACCTATAAAATGGGTACAACTGTTTATGAGGATTAAAGGGGACGGTGTGTTTTAAAATTTGTAGCACATAGGTTTTCCACACACACTGGCTCCTACCATTGCCTCCGAGCCCTGTCCCCACAGTTTCAGAGTGAAATTCATAAACTGGACCATGTCCAGAGGAGAGACTAGGTTGTTGAGGGATGGGGGAGTGAGAAACAAGCCACAAAGAAGTGCTGAAGGGGCTGGGGCATGTGACTTGGGGGCTGAGTGGGCCTAGTTTCTGCAACACTCCCTGGGGAGGGGGACGGCTGTGCTCTGGGAGACAAAGCACCCACACCCATCCTGGGCAGCAGAGGCCCAAGGCCTGATGCACCACAGAAAACCTTCTGGGGCTTCCTCTACTTGAGATCCTCTGTTAGAGCACATACTGGCTGTCCATGGGCAACACTTCTGTCATGGAGTACAAACACAGGGGATAACATGGTCTGGCCCTCCTGCCACCAGGGCAGGGTAAAGCACTCTGAGGTTACTTCTCCCTCCCCCTGCCCCATCAAGCTTGAAAAGGTCAGGTCTAGCCAATAATTGGTGAAGGATGTATGACATCTAGGGCCTGGAGAAGCACAAGAAAGATGTGACCATGCCAAGGAGGTGACAGCCCCGCCCATCCTCAGGGTTCAGTGTGTCACACCAGAGCCGCAGTCATGCCTCAGCAGCCTCAGCCCAAGGTGACCATGCAGGGAAAGTGTGGCTTCAAGCACCACATGCTGGGGAGATGCCCACCCTGGGACCAGGTAGGGCCAGGACCCAGGCTCCCATCGCAGCCCTGGCTGCCCTAGATCAGGAGACCTGGCAGACGTTGCCCTTCTCCAGGCCCGGGAAGACGTTCCTTTCCCACCTAAGCCTCTTCCTCCAAGAAGCCCATGGCCAGAAGCAACTGAACCAAGCTGTGCTGACCGGCTCACCCATGCCACAAGAGCCTGAGCAGGAAAAGCTGAAGCAGGGTGGGGGGCAGAAGGTTGGAGAGAAACGGCTGGACCAAGCGAACAGCCGAGCAAGCCGGGAGCCAGGGCTGGCACTGGCAGCCGTCTGCGCCTCACTCACCCGCCCTCCACAGCTGGTCTAAGGTTGCAGAGTGCCGGAGCAGGAAAAAAGGGAGCTGGTCAGTGGGGAACGGGCAACCGAGGTATTCTCCATGAACAGCACCCCACAGCCAGCACTGGGCTCAATTCTCAGCTCAGGACCCTCAGACCCCCCAGCCCACCAGGCCCTGCCCCAGGACCCCTCAGCCATCATCCTTTATGGCTCAGCTCTGCCCAGCTATGGGAACCTACACCAGACCGAGAACCAGCCACAAGGTATGTCCCTTTGGCAAGCCTGTTTGCCCATCTGTGAAAGGGGGGTGTTAACACCCACCTCCAGGATTGTTGTACAGACTACAGGGCAAAGACATAACCTTTGCCAGGCACCTGGTACATAAGGGCCATCTTCCTTGCTTCTTGATGCTTAATGATGTGATGCTCAACCGGCTGGTTGGTGATCACCACCTGTCCTGAGGCTGACTCCATGCAGTCATTCAACAACACTTTATTGAGCCGTGCAGAGAGGCTGAGGCTGTGAGACTCAGACAGAGGCATCTGGATTCTGTGAGGCGGCGGGTGTGGGGGGAGGGAGAGCCAGGGGGCCCACCAGGGAGTCAAGAGCATGGAGGCGTGAAAGGGCATGATATTTGGGAGATCTGCTGGCGAAAAGTCACACTGGCAGCTGTGAGAGGATGAATAGCGGTCACTGAGGCTGGAGGCAGGGACACTGTTTCAGATCTCATGAACCAGCCTCCAGGAGATGGTCAGAGCCAGACAGAGGACAGCCCTGGGAGCAGACTCAGTGGCCTCGTGCAGGGCATGGGCAGTGCCAGAGAGGGACGCTGGGGCCACCAAGACACTACAAGAAGCCTTCCTGGGTGGGAGCCATGCCCTCTTCTCCACCCATGGCTCCCACGACCCTTTCCACTCTGCCCAGAGGGCCCTCCTGTACAAACCTTTCCACTTCCTGCTTCACCAGCACGTCCAGACCAGAGTTCCCTCTTCCCTCCAGCCCTGTTCCCCCAACTTTCCCAATGAGGCCAACAGAACCACCACCATCCCTCCCCCAGAGTGGAAACCCAGGAGGCCCCTCGACACCCTCCTTTATGCTGTCCCCGCTTCTCCTAGCTGCACAGACTCCTCTCTGGCCTGGGCTATCCCCACCTCTCGGCAGACCACCACAGGCACCTTACTACCGGGCTCTTGGCTTCCACACGTACCCCCCTGAAATCTATCCTCCACTCAGAGCCAGGCTGGGCTTTATAAAAATCCCCTGCTAGCCGGGCTCACTGGCTCAGCCTGTAATCCCGCGCCTTTGGGAGGCTGAGGTGAGTGGATTGCCTGAGCCTGTGGGTTCGAGACCCACCTGGGCAACTGGATGAGACCTCATCTCCACAATAAATCAAAAATGAGCCGGGTGTGGTAACGCGCGCCTGTAGTTCCAGCTACTAGAAAGGCTGAGGCGGAAGGATCGCGGGAGCCCAGGAGGTCGAGGCTGCGGTGGCTGGGAGCGGCCACTGCACTCCAGTCTGGGTGACAGAGTGAGACTCCAACTCAAAAAAAAAAAAAAATCCCCTGCTAAAAACCCTCCAGCAGTTTCCCACAGCCTCAGGACAAACTCTACATCCTTTTCCTGGCCATGAGGCCTCCCAGGCCCTGCCCCTGTCACCCTTGCCAGCCTCATCTCACAACCTGGAGCTCCCACCACACTCGATCCTCAGTTAAAAGCACCACACTCCACCACCTGTCACCTCAGGCCAGGAGCACACACACTTCCCGATGCCCCTTCATCCAGTTAAGTCCTTCTCATCCTTCAGGTCCAAACTGAGACAACACCTCATCCAGGAAGCCAGGCTATCTCCTGTGTGATCCATCACGCCCCCAGGTCCCTTTCAGTCCACTCATTTGACTCCTCTCTAGTTCTGGTTCAAGACCTCTGTCCCCGGGGCCTGGCACCATGCACAATGCAAAGGACACACTCAGCAATGATTGCTGAGTGATTGAAAGAGGGACCATGTGAATGGGTGAATATATGTGACCATATGAATGAAGACCACAGGAACTAGCAGGAAAGGAAACTACAGGACGGGCATGTAGGCACCACTGAGGCAGCCCTAACCACAGTGGCAGAAAAAGGTGGCCCAGGATGTGGCCGATGGAAAAGCACAGAACAGTGTGGGAGGGACGCTACTAACAATGTAAGAAAAATGAAAAATCATGTCTATCTATATATGTATCTCCCGTCTTTCTCTCAGAAGATGGATAAGAAATTAGTAGTAGCGGTTCTCCATGGTAGAAGAAAAACTTTCCAATGTGTAGCCCATAAAACGATTTCAAAAAAATAAGAAAACGAGGCCTCTTTCCTCAGTGAGGAGGACCCTCTGCAGCAAGAGGGCAAGGATGAGCCAGTTGCCACCCTGCCGGCCTCGGGACGTCTCAGCTTCCGCTCGTCACCCTCTTTACTCCTCAGAAAGTCACCGGAGGTGTGGTCACACCCTCCCTTTTCAGAGGGAGGGCCGAGACTCTGAGAAGTGGGGGGACTTGCCAAGGACACACAACACATAGGCGGGGAGTGGGATGAACGAGGGGCCCTGGCACCACAGCTCCAGTCTCTCCACCTGGGCTTCCACAAACCCCAATAACACAGCCGGGGTAGCAGGAAGAGAACAAGCAGGCCAGCCACTGCTGTCAAGGAGACCCCTGCCCTTTCTGGGCCTGAGCGCCCAGAAGCCCTCTGAGGTCTTGGCATTGTTCTCTGAGCCCTCCTGGTCTTGGTGTCTCTCCCCCCCCCCCTGTCTGTCTGTCTGTCTGTCTCTCTCTGTCTCTCTCTCTGTGTCTCTCTCTCTCTCTCTTTTTGTCTCTGCCCCTGTCAGTCTTTCTCTCTGTCCCTCTCTGTGTGTGTGTGTGTGTCTCTCTCTCTGTGTGTCTCTCTGTCTCTCTCTTTTTGTCTCTGTCCCTCTCTGTCTCTCTCTGTCTCTCTCTCTTTTTGTCTGTGTCTCGCTCTCCCTGTCTATCTCTCTGTGTGTCTCTGTCTCTCTCTGTGTGTCTCTCTCTCTGTCTCTCTCTGTGTGTCTCTCTCTCTGTCTCTCGGTGTGTATCTCTCTCTGTGTCTCTTTCTCTCTATCTCTGTTTCTCGCTCAGGGTCCAGGTCAACAGAGGATTAATGCCCAACTGCCCAGCAGAGGCCTCTTGCTCAAGTTGCCAGTAATAAAACTTGCCCTGTGGAACCATGGGCTGGGTGGGGGAGAGATAACGACTATTCCCAAGCCAAAGACACAGCACACGTGGTCCCTAGGGGTCCCCAAGTCCCAGGCAGAGACCAGAGGCCAGAGAGATGTGGCAGGAATCAATTCTACCTCCAACTCCACCTCCTCCAGGAAGCCCCCAGGCCTGACTTCTCCTTTAGCATTTTGCAGGCCATGGCGAACAAGAGCACATCCTGGGACTCACGTCTCCCCAGAGTCACAGAAGGGACAGAGACTTTCCAGAGGCCACGCACCAAGACTGGACCTCAGTCACTCACCTCCCAGACCGGGGCACCAGCCTCTGCTCAGCATTAGGGAGGCCTGGGTCCCCACCAACCCTGCTACCAATTTCCAGCAGGTCCCAGAGACAATCTTTGGTCTCTGGGACTACCCAGTGAGGGGCTGCTAGGTGTCCTCCAAGGGCCCTCCCCCATTCTGGGGTACCAGGCTGATTTGTGGCCCTGAGGTGCTCCCTCAGGCTCTTGAGGCAGGCCAGCTGGAGGCAGGCAAGTCAGGTAGACAGGCAGGGACAGAGCATCCACCAGCCCAGGGCTGTGAGCCAGCTGTGGTAATCTGAGGAAATCCCGAGTGCGTGGGGCTGTGACAGGGTAACCCAATCCATGAAGTGCCCGGGGGTTGCCATGGTTAGGGACAGGTACGGTTTCCAGATGGGACAATGGCCTGGCTGCTTCTTCAAAGCCCTGCTCTGATCCTACCTCATACACCAAGTCACAGGATCATGAACTCAGCAATCGAGGAAACCTCTTTAAACCCTGCAATTCTTGAGCATGGACTACCAGAATCTTAGACCCATAGACAATCAGAGCTGGAAGCTTCCAGGTGCCACAGTTTGGCTTCCCAGCCAGGAGTCCCTGACAAGACGGCAGCTTAGACACCTCATCTCAGCTCCTTCCCTGTCCTTCCTCCATGGGGGCGACCCCCCTCCCCACCTCTCTCTCTCACCCCAAAAAAGAGGTCAGAAAGGTTACTGGTAAGAACTTCTGATGAGGCAAATGGTGTGGACTTCAGGGATTTCTGGGGAATCCAGAAACCTCTGTGATTATTTTCTTTGATCCCCTAGTCCGCCTTCTCAAGGATATAGCATCCAGGCTGGTCTTTCTGCCAGCTGCCGGCTAATCAGTTTATCAGCCCTCACCCCAACTTGCAAACACGACTCACTGTCCCCAGACTGAAGCTTTCCCTCCACCCCTCCCTTACGAACCCTCTCGGCCCTTGCTCTTGATTCAACCGACTAGCTGACTCCCTTGCGTGAAGAACCGGTTTGCCTGTATAGACGCTTAACTGCATGCTACTTGCCTCTAAGTTATTCCTAGACATTAGTGTTCGGGGCCAACTTTTGTCTTGCCCAGTCCCCTCCCCTGAGAAGGTGGCCCTCCGCCTCCTCCTGACAGGAGAGTGGGCCTAGGATTCAGGCCTCAGCACAGGGACAGTGACAGAGCAGCAGCTCTGGCAGTGGCCCTCTCCCTAGCAGACCAGTGGACAGACAGGCTCCCTCTCACCTAAGGGTCAGACTGCCCAGGCCTGGGTGAGTGGCCATTCAGAGCCCCAGAACCCACCTGTGTCCATTTGCCCTCCAGTGAGGGAACAAGGAGGGAGCTGCCAAGAAGTAGGATGCAGGTACCCATGGTTCTCTTTGAGACACAGGGGGTGCCTCTGCTCCACTCCCCCTGGCTGAGTGATGCTGATCACATCTGGAAGTGCCGTTCGTGCCCTGCCCACTCTAAGTTCAGGGGAGACTTGTGTGAGGAGCAGAATACAGGGGATTTGTCAGTCATGGAGGGCTCCCTGCCAAAGCCACTTCCTGCACAACGTATGTCAAGGACCCAAGCACAATCTCTCTTCAGGAGCCTGAAGACACAGAGACCCAGAGCCGGGAGGGCCCCTCTGGCAGCTAGGGGCCATAATTCCAGGACTTCAGGGAGGACTGGATCCCTGGCCCTGACAGCTCCTTGCTGTGACTCCTCAGCCACAACAGCTGGGGTTCCCTCAGACTCTTCCAGCCCTGGCTCCCTGGCTCCCCTTCATGGTCCTGACGACCTGGGTGACACTGTGCTGGTCACTGGCCAGCAGGCATGGTCTTGCCTCCTTCATTCATTCAACGCAGCGGCCCTTCCTGAAAGCCCTCTCTACCAGCCAACCTCACCCGCCTCAGGAGCCCAACCACCACTCACCCCCTGCTGGGAGTGACACATCTCTCCTGTAGAACCCATACTTCCCCTGAGAAGGTGCCCTATGCCAGCCTACCCTGGGCCTGGGGCCCCGAGATCATCAGCCCTGCCCTCTAAGTGCTCCCTCTTGCCCCCTCCTTGCTGCACATCCTTGTCATTTGCCCCTGAGCTGCGGTGACTCCAGCACATAACTCTGGGCCGGCTAAACCTTGTGGAGCCTCAGTTTCCCTGTCTATAACTGGGCTATTGGGCTAGAGCAGCAGTTCTCGGAGTATAAACCAAAGACTCTCGAGGGTCCCCAGGACCCTTTCAGGAGGTCCTCAAAGCTCTCTCTTTTCCAACTATGTATCTGTAAGGCTAGATGTTCTTGACACACATCAACCAAAACACCACATCAGACTGGATGCAAAGCAGATATGAGAATCCAGGTGGCTTCTATCAACTCAGACATTAAAGAGATTTGAAAAACGTATAAAACAATGCCACTCTACTAGGCTTGCTGTTATTGTTGTTGTTTTGCTAATGTAGTTTTTTATTTTTATTTTTATTTTTTTGAGTTGGTGTCTCATTCCGTCACCCAGGCTAGAGTGCAGTAGCACACTCACAGCCACCCCAGTATTGACCTGCTGGACTCAGGCAATCCTTCCACCTTAGCCTTCCAAGTAGCCGGAACTACAGGTGCGCACCACCACACCCAGCTAATTTTTTGATTTATTGTAGAGATGAGGTCTCGCCAAGTTGC